CATCTATTCCTATTTTGTCAAAAACTAGAAAATAAATTGACTGGAGTGCCGATATCACCATGACTTTTATTTCTGCTTACATGGAGGTGACAGAGACACTATTTCTAATAATGATTTTGTATTATATACCGTATGCAGAATTCAGCTTTCTTCCTGCCATATCTTCTTCCTTCTCATTGGTATGACTTCCATTGTGCCTCTTCGTGCTACAGCTGACAATGCTGAAAATACATTAGTGTAACTGTTGAAAACCTGGCACAGGAAAGGCAAGAACATCTAACATTCCAAGTCAAATGTATTTCATCGACTGTCAGAAGCAAAAATGTTCAGCAGAGATTTTCTAGTGGAATGTCAATACTGTAGCAGCGAATGATCATTCTTCCTGGATAAATTGGAAGAGCATTGTTAACAAACACGCTAGAAGTGGGATGACATTTAATCTTTAGAAGGATAATAATACAGACAGTTTAAAACTTTTAGATCTAATATATAACAAGCACTTTCAAAAGGAAAATGCAAAGTGCAGGGCCGGATTTCCATCACTGGAGCCTTTGGCTTCCAAAGCAACCAACCACAGTCTTTGGCTTCCACTTAATATTTGCTGCTGCTAACCTAGGTTGGAATATTGTGACAATGACCCTTATTCATTAAGCTAGTTGCTGCATACATGCTAACTTTCGTATTGCAATCTTTTAAGTTACTATTTCCCCAACGCCCCCTAAATTCTTATGCTTATCTGTTTATGCTCCTGCCAGATCCACACTGTGCAGGACATAGGGAGCCACACAACTAATATTGCAAACTCTCCCGGCTTGTCCCTTGGTTCTGCTGCCCATGTGCAAAACAATCCTTTTTATAAATAGGGAAGGGCAATAAATTGCTGTAACATATAATAGATGGCATCATCATAGAAATGCATGGGATAGTGAGTTTGGGAGGATGCTGGCGGAAGAATATAACTTATTGGATAATTATACAAAAGTATAGTTACCCTTTAAGGCTTGCTAAAATGAAATACTATTATATTGACTGCGAGGCCATGATGACATGTCCTAAAGAGGAATTGAACTCTAGAAGCTGTGTCAGAAAAAGGGCAGGTAGATGGTAAAAGACTGGTCACCAGTATTGCCTGTAGTTTTCCTGCAGCTGATTTTTTTCCCCATTACTGACTTACCATGCCTTGTTCCACACTGTGTCTCTCTGTGGTTAACATCTCATTCTTAATGTTAAAAAGTTTCAGTTTCCTACAGAATCAGCTGGTCCCCTGAGCACTGGCCCTGATATCCTGGGTGGCTTTCTCAAGCAGAGCTCTATGGGACCACCCTTGTGTGTGCTAATAAGCTGTGTGTGTCTCTACAAACACACCAAATCAAGCCACTCCCCTCCGCCCTGGCTCCCTCTCCTCCCTTTTCCCTTCTTCAAGCTCGTAGATGAACAATTTCTGGAGATTGTGCTGTCTCTTGTGATCTTGTCCTGGACAGAAAGTTCTGGGAAGCTGAGCTGAGAGACTTTGAACCAGCTGTTAAGAAACACGATGACTTAAAGTGACATTAAACCCTCAGATTTTTTAACATAAACCAATACTCTAATGTGTGCCTTACTGTAATCCATGGTTGTTTCCCTTCTCTTTGCTGCTCTTCCTTTTAAATCCTCATGTCTTCTCATGCTGGGCAGAACTTCCCTTTTCAGCTCAGGGCCTCTTCCTGTAGTGCTGGCTCAGGTTTCAAGCCTATACAAACGTATACACAGACACCGTGTATCCATTCCTGAGACAAGGCAGTCTGCTGCAAAACAGAAGTTCTGCAGAGCATGAGAACAGATACAGATTTAAAAGGAAGAGCAGCAAAGAGAAGGGAAACAAACATGGATTACAGTAAGGCGCACATTACAGTATTTTTTTATGTTGAAAAATCTGAGGGTTTAATGTCACTTTAAGTGCTTGGTCAGAAATATAAATTAATACTTTGCTGGGTGATATATTTGTTTGAACTGGATTCGTTATTGAAAACAAGTTTGAGAGTTTAATACTACCTTAAGTCAAGTTGAGCAAGTGACAGTGGAAGATCTCTGTGCTCTCACGGAAGGACAGATCTCTCATCACCTGAATTGTTTTTAATTAAGCTTGTTGATGCTTTAATTGTGGCAAAATTTATTGCATCGGAGGTTGTTCCATTATTTGCTCTTGGACCTGTCATGAATGAGTGAGAGGGTACATCAGGTTCTTGTTTTATTAGTTATTTATTGGTACTATTATTTTGAGATATTTATACACGTTGTTAAAATGCAATTTGATAACATTCTGCGGCCTTATCAGTTCAGGCGAAGCCCCCTTGTGGTTACATTCCAGTACAATAGTTTATTCCAGCTCAAGACTTCATAACCTCTGCCATGTACAGCAGGAAATTCAGTTCTCAAAGTAAAGTAACAATGATTTTGTTAATATTCTTCAAATATTTCCATTGTTGAGCTTCTTTGGTGCTTATCTACCGCTCACATAGCAGCCAGCCTTGTAAATGTGAATGCAAATGAAATCCATCAGTCTACGGAAAATGCGAAAGGAGCCGCATCGCTCTTTTTGGAAAGTGTCCAAATCCATTTTTTCTTACTGCTGTTACCCAACCAAAATGCATTTGTTTGTGCCAGCTGCAAAATGATTTTCTTCTCTGTGACAACATTTACCAAGATTCACTTGACACCAGTCTAGAGCAATGAACACAAGACAAACTGTCTGAATGAAGAGCTAATGGTTTGTCCTCCAAAAACCGGATTGGTTTGTTTTATATTTAAACCCGCACTAGAAAAAAGAAAAATCACAGAAAGGAAACATAACAAAAAATGCTGTGTAGGAGGAGAGATAGACAACTTGGTTGCCACAAAAGATGAAGAATTAGCGTAGAATGCCAAACTATTTTAATAGCTTCGGATTGAGTGTGGGAAACATAGAACCCTGGCAGGTTTTATTGTTACTTGTGTCCTTGTTGGGTACATTTTCCCTTGCTATTTCTCTAGGAAACCATTGTAACCTGAATAAAAAGTTAGAGGACATCCAAATTGTCATGGTTGCCTTTGGAACAAAAGTAGAGGTGAAACAGTATTTTTCAGTGGGGACTCATGCTCTGTTTACAAGTACAACTGTTAAAAGTTGGATTTCATTTCACTTTGGGGAGAGGAGTTAAGAGCATATCTCCCTGATGGAAATGAAGACAGCAATAAAATTCTGACAGTGGCCTTTAAGAGATGCTGTCACCAACTTTAAACAAATTACAGGTAAAAGCACAGAAATATCAAGTATTTTTAAATGCTTACTTGTAGTGTTTTTCTTCCCTATAAACATTTTTAATTGACTTGCAATATGCCTCTGAATTTACTAGGGAATTGACATTCCAGAAAGTGTGAATTCCCTAGCACAATTCCCTCCTTCCTTGCTGGCCCAGCTTCTCCTCCCCTTCCCTCACCTCCATATATACTATAATATATAACAGCCTTTCTCAATCCCTTTATCATGGAGGAACCCTTGAAATAACTTTCAGGTCTCAGGATACCCTTGCTAATAATTATTATATATACAGCTCGTTAGACAAATGTTGTAGATATCATTTTCTCATTATTAATGATAATGAAATAAAACAAATGACAATATTGGCCAGAAAAGAAAGACAGACAGTAAAAATTGTAGTGTTCCCTCACCTTGAGGGTCAGTTGAAAAGTGACCCCTTACATTGACAGTCATGGAAGAAGTGCCTCCATACATTGGTAGTCAGTGAAGGGACCTAATACACTGATGGAAAATTAGAAGAACTCTTCTTACATTGGTGGTCAGTAGGAGGAAGGCTCCCTTTACAGATTCATGAAATGATCATTGGTGTCAGTTGTAGCTTATCTGAGAGGCACAAATAGTTTATTGCTCCTATCAACCTCTGCAGGAACCCTAGGGCTCCATGTAACCCTGGTTGAGAAAGGCTGCTAAAGGCCATAAATTAAGTAACAGTCTGCTGGGACAGCTGATAGCTAACATCACATCCAAGATGGTGGCGCCCAATAGCAGCCTCAATCTGGTGTCATGGTCTCTTCAACCCTTTCACACTGTAATCAAAATGTTTTGCTGGAGTTCTGCTGCATATTTTTTGAAGTGTTAGGTGCAATGCTAGTCCTTTGTGCTGTAACACTTGTGGATGAATTAGGTGACAAGTTTAGCTGTCATCAGAGAACATCAGATACATACATACATACATACATACATCAGATTCCCCTGCCTGGTAGTCACTGTAATAAAAATGTACAGAGATTATAGATATATAGGAGGAACTTTGCTAGTCTTGGGTGGGGCTTTATCAGTACAGGAGGAAAATCCCTTTAAAGTTCCAAAAACAAATTATTAACAGCCATGCCAGCCTTTTCTGCCTACCGTCATGACAATATATAATTTTCTGCAGCTCAGTTTAAATCATGCAAAACCAGTAAAACCTGCAAGATAGAGGGAAATGGGAGGGAAATAGAATAGAAAATGTGAGAAGGTGATGGAATAGAAAATATGAGAATGCATCATTTACCCACAATTATCTTTCACTTTTGAGTGAATCCTGGTTGGTTTATTCCCACCTACTGTTATCAGTATAAAAAGAAACTATCAAGTTTTGGATAGACTAGCCCTTTAGCCTATATTAAAATAAATACATAAATGAGTTATGTTACTTATAAAATGGTATATAGTACCCAAAGGCATCCAAAATTCCCCCCGGAACATCTGGCACATATGTTGAGATTGTCCTAAAATCAGACATTACTGGATTACTGTCTACCAGCCTATTTACACAGTATTAGGTAGAGGCATCCAGAATACACCCATATGAAGCCCTGCTTAAAGCGGAAATCTAGTCAGTTGTAAAAATTCACAGGCAGTGCCCTCCACCCGGCCCACCACACTGCAAGGCTTAATTTCTCATTTAGTCTAGGGGATAAGAAAAAAGCAGCAATACTTACTTTATACCTCGCTTTCACAGGCTTCCTCCCCGCTGCATGACCAGTCCCAAAACGCCGCTCCTCTTCGCCACCTGACTGGTAGCGGCCTCTCCGACTCACATACAGGGTGCATTGGAGATTGGAGGAGGGTGCCGGCTGCTGGGGGAGCGAGGAATGAGGTAAGTATTGCTGCTTATTTTTCCTCCCCTAGATAAAAGGAACAATTAAACCTTGCAGCACCTTTTTTTTTACAGATGACTGGGGTTTAGCTTTAAAAAATCCCCTGTCCCCAGACCATTAATTTCAACAACAATCTCTTATTATATGGTCATTTAAAATATTTTAGGCATGTTATTTACCCATAAAAGCCTCCCTTATGTAGACATCCAGAAACCCTAAGACTGGTGTGGTGCCACATTCTTGGATGTGATATCAGCAGCTCCAGCAGAGTTAGAGTGGTCACTCAAGGGATATTCTCTAGTATCCCCCTTCATTTCTTCCCCAGCTACACAAAGGATTTTGTAGGGAGGGGTGGAGGAGCTGGGTCAACACAGACTGTAATTAGTCACTCCTAGAAGAGGAGAGGACTATGGCCTGGTAGAAGGGAGGGAAAGCTATTGCTGTGCTAGGAAATCAGCTCTTCCCAGGCTGGTTAAATTCCCTAGCAAGCTTAAATGCACATTGCAAGTAAATAAAAATAGTTTATGGAAAGGAAAAATGCTGCAATTAAGCATTTAAAATACTTATTTTACTTAATACTTCATTTTTTTGGTGACAGGGTCTCCTTAAATTAAACTGGAGGGATGTAACAAAATGTCTAACCTTAATCTTTACTGCAGCCAAACAGAGATTGACCACATCTACAATAGTACAGGTCAAGCAAAAAATTACATGGTACCTAATTAACAAGAAGTTGCCAGACATTCGCTATGATTCCACGCAGAAATTCAAGACAGTTTGGTCACACTGGTTCAACCCTTATGTGCCAACTACATATGGCCAAACTATCCAAAGAAATAGTGAACCACTAATAAGCCATGACCAAGCCCACCCTGTACCCTCTCCACACATCCTCTTCTTGTTCAGTTATCTAGCCTTCTCTATCTCCCCAATGCCTGGTTTGCCTCTCTTTTCTATTTCTCGCACTTTTGGACTCATTCTTTATTTAATGCAGCAAGTTATTCCACAACTTTTGAAATTGCCTAGATGACATCACTTAATTTCCCAAAAACAATAGGTGTCTATGATATATAGCAGTCCCGCTTTCTCTCAGGTGGCCTGAGATGCACTCTCTGATTGATTTAACTGTTTAAAATAAGCTTATGGCACTCTAATGGAGTCTTTTCAATATTTTAATGTATCTTATACTTTTAATAAAATCACTTAAAAAGAAATAAGTATATTTTAAGAAAGATAAATTATCTTAGATTTCAGACCTTGTAGTTCCTTTACACTTCCTTTACAGATTTTACATCACAAGTGGAACTTCAGCCAAAAATTGTTTCTGAGTTCTTAATAGAATATGGTCAAGTTCACGGGTCATCATAATATGAGAAATCTCACCTATAAAGATGCAAAGAGTTCAATCACTGTTACTCCACACACCTCTTCCCATAAACTTCAATAAACTTTATTGCAGCTTCCAGAGACACTCCACTCCACCCTTCTGCTGATACATTTCACCCCCTGTTGGGGCTTAGTCATGGAGCCAGTATGAAGGCGAAATGTCTTAGAGTAAAGGTGAAGTGCAGTTTCTCTGTGATGACCGTGATTGAAGGTAAGGAGGGAAGTGACAGAGCCTGGAGCATTGCCAGCACCTCTGGCTAGAGAGAGGCTTGGGACTTGGGCTGGTGCCGGGATACTGTAAGTCTATTGGGGACGCTAAGAATAAAAAACCTTACTAGGGTTCTAACTCTTCCCCACTGAATCCAAAATTAAGAAACGCTTTGACTGTAGCTCCACTTTCACTTACAATCTTGTGTATACCTATTATCCATAAACAGGTAAATCAATTATATTTGTCTAATGGTAGAATGTTTCCACTTGTGTGGTTTGTTAACTGTAAAAATATATTTATTTTATTGCCAAAAGACAGCCCTATCTTTCCTGAAATATAAAAGCAGTGAGGATACACTGACTAACTAGTAGAAGTTGGTTATATTCAACTGGACTTGTCCTGTTATGTTGAAAACATTTATTTAGGCCACATCTGATAATTGTCAGGTAAATACCTTAGCATTTATACAGTATATACTGGAATATGTTCCACACACACATCAGAGCTCATCAGAACTGTAGAAGTGACTTAGATAACATACTAACAACACAAAACCATGTGACTAAATACTACTAGTTATATCATGACGTGGATATTTGGGAAACTTCACAGACATAGATACATTGACTGATGTACCTACCTAAATGGCATTTTATGGCATTTTACAGAGTGTAGAACAATGAACCATAGTATGAAGCTTTGTTCCACATGGTTCGTTCAGGTTCCTGCACTTCCAGAACATTTATTTCCCTCTGACTTTTCACGTTGTCAAACATAAATGGGAAATCTGTATTTTGGTCTCATAAGAACAACTTAATATGGGTCATGACATCTTTATTGGGTCAGTCCACTCAAGACTAGTATTTCAGCTTTGGTAGGTGCTGGGGGGTTAAACACCTGGCAATTTCTTTTATCTCTAGGGGTCCTAATTGGTCTGTTCGATTAGGTTCCTCAGTCTACACACCTGTGGTATGGCCATTATGAGGGGTTTTCACTCTCCATGCTGGATTCTTTATTTTATATTATGGAGAATGTAACAACTGGAACACAAAGAGGTGGGTGAGAAACTCCCCGCTAAACAAACAGCCAGAGATTATGGCAGGGATATCTGGCGTTTGGAGCATCCAAGACTTAAAAAAATGCTACTAAGCATCATCTATATCTAAAATATCACTTTAGTGTAGACTGACTCTTGGAGATTCACTATCTACCATATTTGCTGAATTTAAAAAAAATGTAACTATTTCATCTCATCTTTTATTATTTCTTCTTTTTTATAAGGCTGCTGGAGAAACTACTAGCCATTTAAATAAAGTATGGAAAAAGGTTTGTATAGTACATGAATGTGGTGTCATAATCCTCTATGGATGTGTATTAAACGGTTGGTTCTTGTCTATATCATCAATAATTGCAGTTTATCCAGAATATTATCCCTTGATCATTAGACCTAGATCATATATATATAGCAACACATGTGCTAGTTAAAATATAAACACATTGCCCACATTTCCCTATAGCTTTGTGTTTTACAGGCACTATTAAGATAATATATTAATTGTGTTTTCTATAACAAGAGGTATTAGTGGTTGGCAATTGGTACTCTCGAATATCGTTGCCTGAGGCAGAATGCAATTATTTTTTTTGTGTTCATTACATCCTCTTATGCTCCACTGGCTTTCTTCTGCTGAAGTGCCCCAAGGCCTGTTTAAATCAGCTTTAACTTGTTCATTTTTATTTTATCATCCTTTGTGGAATAGGTTCATTTGTGAGAGGCAAGGTTCTGCCTTGCTTCATGACCAGCTATGGTCTGCCGAGCAATGATCTAGAGTCTGGAGATAGTCTAGGGTCATTTTATAACCTGTGTTCCTGAGTTTGGCTTAGGACACAAAGGTGGAAATGCAGAAATCTTGTTACTGAAGTTATTTGTGACACTCTTTTGTTTCCCCGAGGTATATCTGACATACAGGCAGCATTCTGTCATGTGACCTTACAAGGTTTTTATATATGAATATGGTTAGAAATAATAGGGCACCTTTTTTTAAAATAAAGGGTCAAGATAAATAGTGGCTTTGTTGCCCATAGACATCAGACCTATTCCAGATGTAATTTTTCTCGTGCAAAAAGAAAAGTGAGAGCTGAAATCTAATTGCTATGGGCAGTACTAATACTGGATGTAGTCTTTGGTGCTTTTTCAGTCTTTTGGAGGAAAGAAGCAGGTCTATCATAAGATAATTTTATAGCAAGTATCTCAGTATACTGGAGGGTGTATTATTGAGCCAATTATGACTGCCGTTATAATGGCAAATCTGCTAGGAAAGGGATAATTAAACTGCAATTATAGATTTATTGTCTTATTATTTGTTTAGAAGGTGTTATGTTGTCCTAATGTTCCAATGGCGTTAATTTATCCCATTCATAATACTGTATTAGACACCCTGTTTTTGACTTTCGTGTTAGATGTTGCTGTCCTGATAAAGAAGAACTCTGGGCAGAAATAATCTTAACTCTTGCAGTGGGGCCACCCCTAGCACTGCAAGGGTTAAGTGCTCATTTTGTCTAGGGAAAACCCTTCACAGTTCTTATGGTATGACAATGCATAATAACAGAAGTCAGGTCAGAACGTAACCCATTTCCTGATGCCTGGAATTCTGTTTTCCTGCTTTCTTTGCTGCCAAATTCTAGCTATGGTAGGGAGCCAGTTGTTGCATAGGCTATGATAAGCTTGCCTTGAACCTTCAAACTTATCTACAGTGTCCATTTGGGGCTAAGCAGTTTGTACTTAAAGTTCCATAATATTACAATGTACTGTAGTATATGTATATCTTCTCTTGTATAGTATAGTGGAACTGGTTTTAGCAATGGAGACTTAGTACATGATTGTAGCCCGTCAACCATCAATTAGTGCATTATATTACAATGTACTGAAGTATATGCTGTTCTATAACCTCTGTATAGTGGAACTGTTTTAGCAATGGATAACTAATGCAGGGTTGTGGCCTGGTAACCATAATTTAGTGCAGAAGTTTGGAGTTTATTGGTATACTATATCGGCTAACCTAAAATGTAATGCTGGGCAAAACATCCTGGAGATCACATCATCTACTTCCCAGACTGAGATGCTGGCTCAGCAAGAACCAAGGGCTCGGAGCCAAGAACTGCACAGGCACCAGGATTTACATGATTCTGTCATCTCTGAGCCGCCGTATCAGTCCAGAAAGGAGATGATGGCCTTGAAAGAAAAACAGATAAAGGCATTGTCGGGGGAGTATTAATTGGGATCTTTGTTAGAGGTAAGAAACATCTGGAAGTTACACTGACATATACTTAGCATGAAACAATATATCTGATGCTAGTTCTACTTTATACTCCAAACTTTCTGCACTGATGGGTCACAAAGGCACAGAAGAGGCTCTAGGCACTACAGGTTATGGTTTGCTTGTTTTTTACCTAGGAGTGAGTCTTTATAGAATAGAGAGCAACAAGATGATATTTTTCATTATATAAGAAACTAGGACTCAGCTGATGTATGGGGAAAAAAAATATAATTCTGAATTAGTTATCGAGCAGATGTTTACTAAACATGAGTAATAAGTGCAGGTACAGATAGATATCACCAGATGGATTGGGTCAGGTTGACATCTCTGCATATGTTTTATTAGAACCTCTCTAGACAACCCCCTTGCAAATGCTGAACAGCCTGGTTTTCCTTGCAGAGGATTGCATGCTCAGTAATTCTGTTTTTCAGCCTCTAATTCCTAAATCATATTTCCAGATTGTTTTCTATTCGCTGTTGAAGCTGTGTTATTACATTTTGCAGGCAGCATCTTATGCCTCATCTGCAATAGTGGTCATTTGTCAATGCTGATTTTTTTCCCCTCTTGATATGTATTTTTCATTTATTTCTGGTGATGTATATGAAACAGAATGTGAATACATAATGTATAGATATGTCTCCTCATTTTCCTTTTATTTCAGCAAATCTTTAATAGTTTTAGGTCAATGTTAACATTTATTTTTAACATTTTAAACTGATGGTTCATATCTGTTTCTTTTTAATTATTACCTCTGTGCATAAATGTGTAAATACATACATAAATACAGATACATATTTAATACCAGGTGCACCCATGACATATGGTTTCCAGAGCAATATGGGTTATCTAAAAAGTGATGACAAGAAAAACTGTTTACTTTCAGATTCTCTGCTTCTGTACACAGCTGCATTGACAGGCATTAGACTCTTCTGATTTATTCATTCCTATGTGTAAATTTAATCTTGAGCTATTGATCTCCGTACAGGTTGGACAACATCTGCTTTCAGTACACTAAGCTCATATACTGTAGTACTGTAGTTTACTTATGTCTGCCTTTACTTGGCACCTTTGCAGGAGCGCAGGACTTTCACACTAAAGTTACATTTCTGAATCCATGAAATATTACAAAAATTTTATGAGTGTGCTAGGATTACAGTTCTCCGAAGCACCAGTTTTCTTCTAAATAAGTCCTGCTACCTTTTTGCCAGTGTGCTGCAATGGATGCACATGTACATCACGTGACCAGCAGACACGGATCTGAGTTGGAATAGTCCTACTAATTTTGGCATTCTGTGAATACTAAACTGAATTGACAGCATGGAATAGGTGGAGCCACGTTTGTGCAGAAAAAAATAACAAGTATTTCCATTTTTCACATTTCAATGATAGATGTGTAAAAACAATATATAGAATATGAAATACATATTTTTTTTCATGCAATGTCTGATTTGACATTACTTCAGTTATATTCTCCACATATATGGTGTGGCTTATTCCTTTAGCTGCTGATATCCTCTATGTCCACAGTTCATGACAGGGTAAGGCACAGCTGTCCATTGCCCAACCACCCACTGCTGGCTACAGCCCCTAACCCATCCATGACCAATGCCCACATTACAATGATAGACCACACCAGGATGGGTATAAAATGGCTGTAGCAGCCGTTTATTACAAAATATATTTAAATATATAATTTTAGTTCAAACATTAATTATGACCATAAACAACAATGTATCAGTAAACTATTATTTGGCGTGAGGTCTGCTCAGGCACCACTTACTCAACCACAGAAGATCTCTGCTTACCCCCTTAAAACCACTGGCCCCTAGCCGCAACCCACCGACTCAGGGACAACATGGGAAGTAACAGCAGAGACCTCCTACACCTATTTCTGACCTCTCTCTCTGCTGAACCCGCCGGACAACAGCAGGACCGCACACCACGGACACATCCAAAAGGGTCACCCCACCGTAGCTCGCCATGCGCAGACCTAAGCAACGCCACCGAGAACCAGCATCTGAAAGACAAGCAAAGCAAAGAAATAACATGCAGAAAACAAAAAACCTATGGGAGGGAGGGCGGAAAGTGTATTAACCATGTGCTGGCTCCCAACTGCCTGGACCACCCCTCCCCCTGCTCTAACCAGCCTGGTTGCTCCTCCTGGACAACTTGACTCAGCCAATCACAGTAAGTGACCCCCCATGGTGGAATAGGTTCTCCAGAAATAATTTTATTAAAGAATCTACACATATGGGGGCCTAATAACGGTAAGAACTTTATATAATAGGCTTTTGTGAACCCATCAGGTCCCGGAGTTTCCCCATCAGGGAGTCTTTTAATCACTGATTCCATCTCCTGTACCGTTATAGGCCTATCTAGTTCCTCCGCTTGCTGGGCTGACACCTTTTTACTATTTTCCATCTCTAAATACATACGTATAAATGAACGCTTATTATCTCTAGATATTGGAGATCCTTCTCCTGGCAGATTGTATAATATAGCATAATATTGCCGAAAAACCTCCAATATCTTTGAAGTATGTTGGACCATTTCTCCCGAAGTAGTTTGCAACTTCGATATACATGTCCGGGTTCTTTGTTTTTGTAGTGCCCTTGCTAACATTTTACCGCATTTATTACCATATTCATAAAATTTATGGGATATAGATCTTGCACTTTTACGCGCCCGTTCTGCTAATAATCGAGTTAGAGTCGACCGCAAAGACTCCAAATTCTGCTCATCTACAGATGAGTCATTTCTCTTATGTTTTAATTCTGCCACTCGTAATTGTTCTAATAATGTAGCCAGCTCCCTCTTTCTGGCCTTATTCAGATACGAGCCCCTTGAGATCAGTTCTCCCCTAATAACTGCCTTGTGACCCTCCCATACCGAACCCTCCCGCACCTCCCCAGCCTTATTCAGAACAAAGTAGGATTCTATGGCTTTCATAACAAGGCCTGATGTGGTCATGTCGTCCAATAAGTTTTCATTTAATCTCCACATCCATTCTCT